TGCATGCCCAGTGCTTCGGAGAAGTTTTCATAGAGTTTAATATATTAACTATATCAATTTTCTGTAGTTCGACATTTCGTAAAGTTTGGTCCAGATGATCATCAGAAAGAGTTTGAATTGCAAAAAGTCAAACTACAGAAAAACAATATAGTTAATACACATCACTCTGGTTATACCAACACTCTTTAGAAATAAAAAAATTGTCGATATATCCAGATGTCAGATTAACAAGTGTCTCTTTTTATACTGACACCATATTGATAATATGTATATATGTCGGTTTAGCAAGCACCTTAGTTTTTTTATTGGCGATGATTTATACATACAAAGTACGTAGAGTATGGTTTACAGGCAAGTTAATGTGTCTGTGCAATTTGCAGCATCTGATTGGTCCGCATAACTCTATTCACCTCATATCGTTATGCATTGTATGTATTGCCTCTGTGTTTGTACATGTGAGCATGGATTATCTGATACCCCGTCTATGATCAGCACAACATAATCTCTCATGTGGAGTATAACCATATGAATTAATAGATATTATAATAAATGATGATAAAAGCTTGATTTTTGGACATAAATACTGGTGGCCTGATGCAGATTTTCGCATATATTCAGTAGATATTTAAGATTTTCTGTTTTATTTTCGCCGAATTTTTTATTGGGTAATGTAATAATAATCAATGATCGTCAAAGATTTGAGCAAAAATTTTTTTTTGGCATGTTAGTCGCTAAAGAGTTGTGTGGTTTAGCGCTAGCCGAATGTGATTTAATCACAGTCAAAAAGTCATCCGTCCAATATCAAGATAATAAGAAGTATTTGGCTTCCTATGATTTTTATCACATCCCTTATTGGGTTAGAATTACTTTATATAAAAGGTCATTATGAATCATATCTCCTGTAATCTTGATTATGTGTATTGAATCCTGTTTGTTCCTGCAGCTATTTTCACAGGGCCTTTAATCTATGCTATTGATTATTGTAAACTTCACCAATTATACTCTAGTAAATATTCAAAAATATCGTAATTGCAATAAGTTACAATTTGACAAGTCTGGCATTATGTATGTACTGTACCTTAGGTTTGACACAATGTTATTATACTTGTCATAATAGCTATTTTTTTATTTGATCTATCAATGGAAATATTATCTAATCATACTTATTTTGAATATATGCACCTGTTCATGTGACATTAATTAAATGCCTAATTTGGTTTTC